CTCTTCCGAGAGCAGCTTCTGGAAGCCAAACCCCGTTCATTTGGTGAGTTTATCTCAAAAGGGCCAATGAGAAAACATGAATTAAAAAATTGCCCCTACGTTGCGAACCTTATCGATTCTAACCCCTCTCTCATTTGCTGATACTTTGTTTTGATTGGAATGTACTGATGGAAAAAGCTGGCTGTCAATGAATTGTTTGGGTTGTTTTTGAGAACAAGACAATATAACTAGATGAAGTGACCGGGGCCTGTGTTGGTTGGAATGACTGTGGTTGTTTCACCGTGGAGAGTCGGCGTCGGTCGGAATAGCAGTCTGAAATCTAAGTGACGATGGCGGGAGAGTCAGACACTTGCAACACGCAGCCCAAGGAGGAGCCGTTACCCACGCGTAACGTGGCACGCGGGGAGCGACCTGCAGCACCTCGGTGTCTGCCTGCCCCGTCTAGTTCAGGAGTTGGTCTTCACTGCCTGAACACGCTTTCCAAAGCTGAAATCCTGTTACCACTGACCCTCCTGACTCTTCATATCCCTGATGGGCTTTTCGTTCTCCCTCCTGTTCAGAGGAACCTGCAGGTTCCGCCTGCAGCGCCCGGCGGCCGTTTCAAGTGTCAGTGGGGTGTGCACAGAGGGTCGTCAGCCGGGGCCGAACCCACAGATGCTCCGTGAAGCTGCGTTTATGCACGTTGTGCCTCCTGTTAAACTTCTCCCCACTGCATTTAAGTCAAGAGGCAAAGTTTTCCTTTAGTGTATCTTTCTGGGCTTTCTGGGCCTTCTATCAAGGGTCTTTTAAGTTTGTACCTGTTCAGAATAACCTTCCAGCTTCTTTTAGAAATGAAAGCGGGTAGTTTTGGTAGAAATGGGTTATCAGAGATAAGAAGCAGCCCAGTGACAGCACGCGAGTCGCAGACCTCAAAGCTAAACCGATCTCATCTGAGGCAGTGCTCAGCACTACTGCCCCAGTACCACCAGTCTGACTGACCGCTGGAAACACATGGCCACGCCAACAAGCCCCTTAAAGCACAGGCACTGTTCTTTCATCTTGGAGGCCTTATTGCAGCCTTCCAGTACCTGAAGGGGCTACAAGGAAGCTGGGGGGGGACTTGTTATAAGGGCCTGTAGTGACAGGACAAGGGGTAAGGGGGTTAAATTGAAAGTGGGGAGGTTTATATTTGGTATCAGGAAGAAGTTCTTTCAGGAGAGGGTGGGGAGGCACTGGGACAGGTTGCCCAGGGAAGCTGTGGATGCCCCATCCCTGGAAGTGTCCAAGGCCAGGTTGGATGAGGCTGGGAGCAACCTGGTCTAGTGGAAGGTGTCCCTGCCCATGGCAGGGGGGGGGAACTAGATAATCTTTAAGGTCCCTTCCAACCCAAACCAGTCTACGATTCACATCAAAAAGCCATGTAGCTGGTTGCCCAACCTGTGCGTAATGGCCATCAGAAGGAATCCA